CCCCGTGCTCATAGAGTGTGTGGATACGTGTGTGTGTGTAGAAGCAGGATGTGTGTTACATGCATACATTTAGTACTCTGGAACACCCCGTGCTCGTAGAGTGTGTGGATACGTGTATGTGTGTTACGTGCATACATTTAGTACTCTGAAACACCCTGTGCTTGTAGAGTGTGTGGATACGTGTATGTGTGTTACATGCATACATTTAGTACTCTGGAACACCCTGAGTGCCCAGGGGGTCCTCATGCTCACCATGAGCACTTCCTCCTGGGAGAAGATTGTCCCTGAAGCGTTGGTGGTGTCAGGGACCCTTCTCCTCAGCCTTCCTGGGAGAGGAGCCAGGGACGTGTGTGTGGCAGTCCCCCAGTGTAGACCTAGGCTCTCTCTGGTGCCCTTCCCAGAGTGCAGTCAGTGGCAGTGCCACTGAGGGGCCACATGCTGCCTGTCAACTACAGCTCTGTAATGTCATGTCACGTGATGTGGTGCCTGGTGGGGGCTGCGCTGGCCCACAGGGCGGTGTGTGCTGTTGCTGTGTTCACACTCACAGACTCTGAACAGCTGAGGACTCTTCATATCCCTAGTGCCCCTCTTCTCTGATCAGCTGATGTATGTCGCTCATTTCCAGGCTGGGTGTTAAGGAGGCCTGACTTCAGCCCCGCGAGCTGGGTCCGGCCAGTTGGACCTGGCGGTACCATCCCTCGTGTGTGTGCTTTTCTCCCTTGAGCACCTGGACCTGTCATATCACCCTGTGTCCACAGGATGCCATCACTCATGCCTGCAGGCCTCTTCTTACGCAGGGGCCAGGCACAGGTCCTCCTTGTGAGCAGGGCAGAGCCCATGCAGCCCCACCTGCTCCCGGGTGCAGTCCTGGCAGCAGTGCTGCTGCTCTCTGTCCTTGGATCTGTCAGCAGCCAAGATGTTTGGCCCCAGGACACACTCTGGGCAAGGTTGCTTCTCTGTCAGTAGATTTGTTCCGCTGTCCATCTCAGGGTCACAGGTGCTACTGTAGGAAACAGATCAGTGCCTTGACCATCTCCTTGTAGCTCTCTGTCCAGCCAGGCCAGGGGCAGCAGATAGCAGCCATGGACAGGAGAGGGGCCCCTGGCTGGCTGCTGTTGCTTTTCAAAAATACTTTGTTTTCTGGACCCAGGCTGATATGTTAGACCAGGAAGCTGCCTTTGTGCAGATTCAAGAAGCCAAGACGATGGTGGAAGAGGACCTGCAGAGGAGGCTGGAGGAGTTCGAGGATGAGAAGGCACAGCTGCAGAAGGTGGCGGATTCTGCAGCATCCTTGGAGCAGAAGTTAGAGCAGGTAAATACAACTGAGCAGTCTTCAGACTTCCCTGTCCAGACACTGAGTCTGAGACCTGCTTTTTAAAGTCCACAGTGCTGTATAGAGGGGCCTTTGCAGGTCGTCCTCCCGTGTCAGCCCAGGATGGAGGTCTGGTTGGGCTGCTAGTCTAACCGTGTCAGCCCAGGATGGAGGTCTGGGCTGGGTGGCTAGTCTGTCAGCCCGGAGAGGAGGTCTGGCTGGGCTGTCAGGCTAACTGTGTCAGGCCAGGGCAGAGGTGTGGCTAGGCCGCTAGGCTAACTGTGTCAGCCCAGGGCAGAGGTCTGGCTGGGCTGCTAGGCTAACAGTGTCAGCCTGGGGTGGAGGTCTGTGCTGGGTGGCTTGTTTAATCCTTTAATGGTTGTCATGTCACTCCCTCCACTACTCCTGCAAACCTGGCCGTGCATACCCTCTGTAAACTCTGTAGACACGGAAATGGTCATCACCATGCACACTCTCAGTAAATGTGGAAATGGTCATCACCGTGCACCCTCTGTAAACTCAGAGTACTTGTGCCTGTTACTGTCCTTCTGCACCAAAAATTTGGATTTGAAAAAAAATTTCTCCAAAGCATCTATCAGTTTTACTTAAAACCTGAACAAGGGACAAGTGCTAGGGCTTGGAGTGGGTGGTGTTTTCATTCAGGAGCAGCCACATAGGGTTCTTGCATTTTTTCAGGTGAAGTTGACTTTGCACCAGCGAGACCAGCAGCTTGAGGCCCTGCAGCAGGAACACCTGGGCCTGATGAGACAGCTCACCGCCACCCAGGAGGCCCTTCAGGCCCGGGAGCAGAGCCTTGGGGACTTGCGGATGCACCATGAGGAGCTGCAGGCCCAGCTGGAGGAGCTGCAGGGCGAGGTGGCCACCAAGGACGACGCTGTGCGTTTCCTGCAGCATGAGAAGATCGTCCTGGAGGTGGCTCTGCAGGCGGCCAGGAGCAGCCAGGAGGAACTGGACAGGGGAGCGAAGCGCCTGGGAGAGGGAACCGAGCAGACGGTGGAGGTTCTCGAGCAGTTGAGACAAGACTTGGCCGTGAAGTCCAGCCAGGTAATGTGGTCTGCTGCCACCTTGTTCGGGCTGCACCTTGTTAGAGCTGCCACCTTGTTCGGGCTGCACCTTGTTAGAGCTGCCACCTTGGTAGGGCTGCACCGTGGTAGGGCTGCAGGGCTGGTCTTCTGTATGCCGCTCTGAGTCCCCGTGAGGGGCGTCCTCTCCTGCACGTGCCTGGGCCTCTACCCTCACTCAGGGTGAGAAACGTGTGTGAGGCTTTTGAAAGAAACCTAGCAGGAAGTTTCTGTCCAGAGGTGACTTACAGTTCAGGGTTAGGAGAAGTGACATATCCCTCGTGTTGCCTGAATGCGGACGTGAGCTTTGAATCTTCCTCTCTGTGTGCCTGACTGCACGTGGCCCCCCACACCATGGTGTGTCAGAATGGTCCTTCTACCACGCAGTTGTGTGAGCTGGTGAGGGGAGGAGGTACAGTCACTTGTGAGGACCTGGCACATGACCAAACAGGTGGTCAGGGCTGGGGACTCTGTTAAAGGCATAACATGATTTTGATGTTGAAAAATACAGAGAGAACAGAAAAGCTGAAGTGAGTTGTGGAAGGAAATAGAATTAGTTCGAGGAGGTAATTGTGTTTTCAGAGTTCATCCTTTCAGCGTCGAGGATGAGGAAATCCATGTCTTTCTGTGGGAAAGTGCACTAACACAAGGCTCCCTTTCCTGTCAGACACTGACGTGCACAGGCATGTCGTAGGTGATACCGTGCATTTGAATGCAGTAGGGGAGTTAGGTTAGAGGAAATGTGGTGAATCTGGTTTTCATTTTATGACTGTTAGCTTAGTGAGAGAGATCCCCTGAGTCGCGGAAACCCTGGAAGTGAGGTTGGGTGGAGATAGGCCTTACTTGATATGTCTGACTCTGACCCTTGCTGCTCTTCCCAGAGTTACTGGTGAATGTCCTGTGAAATTGTTACCTTGCAAGCAGAGTGGAAGGGGTGGCAGCAGTGTTCCAGGCCATGGGGTGTCTCTCCGACCCCGGTGTTCCAGGCTCCCTGGGAACATCTATCCAAGCGTGATGCTTCCGTCTCCCTGGCGGCCTCTTTCCCACCCCAGCGTTGGCGTTTTTGAACCCACAGAACTGCTCCTCAGCTTGTCTGAGTTTCTGCCCCACCTATGTTCATCTGCATCCTTGGGCCTCCTTAAAACACTTGTGGCTTCCCCTGTGCAGCTCCAAGCCATCTAGCCCTGTGTGGGGCCACCAGAGGCCAGGGAACCCCAGCACGGCCAGAGGGGCATGAGTGAAGTGCATAGAGTGGTTCTTGCTCCCGTCTTGGGGCTTAAGAAGGATGCCCTTCTTGGGACCATGGTCGCAGGGGACATCAAGCTCAATTGGCATAACATACTATACAAAACATTGTTCCACCTACTACTTTGGCGAGTAGCGACTGGGACCTTAAAAGCTAGGAAGCTGCCATCTGGATGCAACAACGGGTCTCTCCTCGTCAAGAAAAAAGAAGAAAACCAAAATTAATGGAAACAATCAGTCCTAGCGACTGGTACACCATCCGATCTGCAACCTATACAACCATGAGACCAGAAGAACTAGATGGTGCCCAGCTACCACTGCCATCCACTTGGAAGGGATGTAGGAGATCCTGCATAAAGAGGGAGAACAATGTGGAACAAAACTCAAAATCATTTGGAGGCAAAAAAAAAAAAGAAGGTGGGGACCAGGTTTGCTGGTCCAATAGAGCCTGGTGTAACCACTGAGACTATGGCCCGTACTGCCCTTCAGGTCTGGAATTGAACCCACAACTGTGGTTTCCAGCCAAACAAAGTACAGGCATGTGAGTTAAACATTTACCTCAAGTAGACACACGCCCTGGAGAGAACAATCATGGGAGAAGGAAGGGCTGCTTATGCACAGGGAGATAGCTCAGGGTGCAGAAGAGTATGAAGGGATGGACACTGGGAGGAGGTAACTATGGGGAGGAAGTGGGAGGGAAGCTGCTGCATTGTAAATTTTGGTCAATGACATGAGACAAAGTATATGTGAACTGCTGTATGAAAAGTGAATTTACTCTGTAAATCTTCACCCAAATCCTAATTTAAAAAAAAAAGAAGAAGGAGGATGCCCTTGACTGTCCTGTGCAATGTGGTAGGGACACTGGCTCGTTTTCTGGTTGGAGGTACCTTGGTAGCTAGATTTGTGTGGAGTGTGGCCTTCCAGGACAAACCCTAGGGCCCTAGAAAACCTCTGGCCTAAACTGTTTCCCATGTCTAGTGATGATGGCCACACACACTCGTGTGAAGCGTTTTGTGGTGAACGTGTTTCATCTGAGCTTCAGACAGTCCCTGAGTTGAACATGGCAGTGCCATTACACCGTTTTTGGAGTGTCCCGAAGCAGCCCACATGAGGGCTGAGAGAGCTCTTGGCGGGGGTTATCTCTCACCTGGCTTTTAAGAGCATTGTTGAATAGGGTGGTATCTTACACACCCTACATGCTTCTGGACCCCTGGAGTCCTATACATGGAATTGTGATCCTGTTGAGTCTGGGGCAGAGCTAAGACTGCATCTCCAATGGCCTCTAGGTGGTATGGATGGCTGGTCTGTGACCGAACTGTGAGCTGCAAAGATGTAGAACAGGACAGCCAACTGCAACCAAGGGCCCAGCCCAACCCCTGCTTTTGTAAATAAAGTTTTCTTGGAACACAGCCAGGCTCATTTGTGATGGAATGGCTGTGGCTGTTTGCACCACAACAGTAGGGGTGAGATGTGGCAACAGACCATGCATGTGGCCACAAAGCCAGACAAGTTTGCCGTCTGACCGTTTCCAGAAAGGTTTGCCACCCCCAGATCTAGAGCCTCCCCTCCCCTCATCCCTTCCTCTCTTCTCTGTTGTCTTCCTCTTTTCCCTCCCCTCCCC